AGGAGGGAGTGGCAACATGGAGCTTGAGGAATGAGCTGGGATTTCCATGAGAAAAGAATTCAGGATTTGAGGGGAGCTTGTTTCAAGGAAGGCAAAGACGCAGAGCAAGAATGTGAACAATGTATTCAGGATATAGAAGCCATTAGGGCCATTAGGGCCAACAGACCAAATGCAAATTTTACCTTCTTCTTTACAGATACCACAAATTTCCTCAAAGTCAGAACACCATTATAGACTTAATAAATCAAGCAAAATGCCAAGCCACTGAATCGTATAAGGATTGTGCTTTATTCCTCCAGTGACGTGATGTGCTGTGGGAATCATAGTAAGAGACACCTAGCCCCAAGCATGTGGGAAATCTCAGAAAACTTATTTCCCAACACCAAGCTTTAACAATGACTCCCCAAAAGGCAGAAACTCCTCTATAATATCAGGAGGAACACCTTAAGTTTACTGTATTGTTTCCTTGATGACTTCCTTTTTTTAAACTGATGTATAGTTGACCTACAGAATTGGATTAGTTTCAGTGGTACAACATGGTGTTTGGACATTTACATACATTCTGAAGTGATCACAACAATTAACCCAGCAGCCATCTGCCACCATATAAATTTGTTACAGTATTATTAACTGTATCCCCTGTGCTGTACTCTGCATTCCCAAGTTTTATATACTTAATAACTGGTAGTTTGCACCTTTGACTCTCCTTCCCTTGTTTCACCCGTTCCCCTACCCTCTCCCTCTGGCAACCACCAGATTGTTCTCTGTAGCTGTGAGTCTGTTTCTATTTTGTTTTATTTGTTTACTTGCTTTCTTTTTTAGACCCTACGTGTAAGTGAAATCATATGGTATTTGTCTTTCTAGACTGATTTATTTCACTTAGCTTAATATGCTCTAGCTCCATCCATGTTGCACAAATGGTAAGGTTTCATTTTTTATAGCCAACTAGTATTCTTGTGTGTGTGTGTGTGTGTGTGTGTGTGTGTGCGTGTATCTCACGTCTTCTTTATCCATTCATCTGTCAATGGGCACTAGGTCACTTCCATACCTTGGCTATTGTACTTGGTTACATTTTAAAATGATGACCCCTAAACCCTGTTCTGCAGAATTCAGGATTTTAATCCACAGCGCATCCTTTATTTTTAAAGTAAACTCCATATTAGCCGTCCACTTTTCTTTTTAAATAAACATTTCCATCTAGCAGCAAAAAGTTTATTACAAAGATCCCAGGTAATTTCCAAGGAGCTCATGTAGATAGACAGGGAACTCTCCGATCTCTGGAGGGAGGGCTCTCCTCTGGCTGGCTGGGCTGCCATCTTGCCTTTGCTGACCCAGGGGCAGGTTCCTGCCTGCTCCATTGGGCCTTGCCCCGTCCTGAGCCCCATTGCTGGCATTGCCAGCTTCTCTCTCCATTGCCCCAGATTGCATTTGCCATCTGGGCCTGACCAATCATTTTCTGGATTTTCCTTTTTTTCCAAGAAATTTTTTCACTTCTAATTTTGTTTTTCTCAGCCTTTCCTGGAAAAAAAAGGGGGGGGGCAGTTTTACTACCTTTTTCATCTGAAACAAGTAAAACAGCATCAACAAGTACTTTATCATTCATCTCACAATTTGGGAAGTGCAGCAGTTCTCAAACTTTCTGGTTTTAGAACCCTTTTTGTCCTCTGAAAAACCATGAAGGACCCCAAAGAGCACTTACTTGTGTATGTTATGGCTACCGATACTAGAAATGAAGATAGAGACATTTATAAAACATAAGAATACACAAACGATGGGGCACCTGGGTGGCTCAGTGGGTTAAGCCTCCACCTTCGGCTCAGGTCATGATCTCAGGGTCCTGGGATCCAGCCCCGCATCGGGCTCTCTGCTCCGCGGGGAGCCTGCTTCCTCCTCTCTCTCTCTGCCTGCCTCTCTGCCTACTTGCGATCTCTGTCTGTCAAATAAATAAATAAAATATTTAAAAAAAAGAATACACAAACACACATCGTATCAACTCTTAGAGCAACGATGGCATCTTCTGTACTAAGCCTCTGGAAATCACTGTTCCTGTGAGGGGATGAGTGAAAACGGCAGTAACACGGTAGTCATGTTATGGAAATATTTTGATGCGAGGAATCCCTGGCACACCCTTTGAGAACCCCTGGGAGAGCATAATGGAGCCTACCAGGACCAGTTAGGGAAAGTGTGACACTTGGGTTTGGCACTCACGTCTGATGTCCCCTGCACAGCCTCGGGGGTCATTACATGATCTCTCCCAACCTCTGTGTCCCTCTGTGGTCACCACCTTATCTACAGTTCCCAGTCCAGAAACCTGTTGTGAAGATAAACATGTGACAACACCCACAGGCTGAGCACAGCGCCTGGCACAGAGTCAAGAGGTCAGCAAATGCCAGAGAAACGAACAATTCGAGATGTGCCACCTAGACTCATGGCTTCCTTTGTGGCCAGCAGGTCCGATCCTACTTTTTCTGTTCCTGTTTGGCCGCGATAATCCAGGGAGCCAAGGATATGCTCTTTGAGTCTAAGTGTGGGCCTTTGCCAGATGGGCTGTGAACATAACAAGGATGGACAGGCCTCAGCCGGCTCAACTTATAAAATGTTCTTTGGGTATTTTTATGGTTCAGATTTCTGAAGACTGGGACCCTACTTTTTTTTTCTATCAAAACAAGCCAGGAAGAAAGATGATCATCCAGCCTGTAGGCAAGACAATGTTCAGGAAGAACCACTAGCTTCAGAGTCCGGAGACCTGCCCTCAGCCTCAGCTGTGTTACCTGCTTAGGTGTGGGAGCTGGGGAACTGGTTTTGCCTTTGATGAGCCTGACTGTCCATCTACAAAATGGGGTTGGGTGAGTCTGATGGTGGGTATTAAGGAGGGCACGTATTGCCTGGAGCACTGGGTGTGGTGCCTAAACAATGAATTTTGAAACACTGAAAAAAAATTTTCTTTAGAAAGGAAAAAAAGAAGAAAACAAAAAGAGAAAATATAGAATGGGAAAAAATGTCCCAATAGGTATATTTGACAAAGGACTTGTATCTAGAAAAAAGAATGATTATAACTCAACTATAAGAAGAAAAGCAACCTAGTAGAAAATTCAACAAAACTACTTGAATTTTGACTTCACAATTAAGATACACAAATTTTCAATTTATATGTTACTCTTTTTTTAAAAAAAAAAAAGGGGGATTTATGTCTGCCTTCCTCTTTCTTACTTAGCTTTCAGGCATATTGAAGAAAATGCTCTAAAGCATTATGCAAGAATAAGGAAAAACATTATTATTATTATTATTATTATTATTATTAATTTTAAGATTTTATTTGAGAGAGGGCATGAGCAGAGAAAGGAGCAGAGGGAGAGGGAGAAGCAGACTCCCCACTGAGCAGGGAGTTGGACTCTAGGCTCTGTCCCAGGACCCTGGGATCGTGACCTGAGCCAAAGGCAGACACTTAACCCATTGAGACACCCACGCACCCCAACAAATATTATTTTTAATATTATTGTTGGTTCAGCATCATGAAATAAAATAGCCATACCTTTTTTTTTTTGCAACTTTACTTTGCAAAGTTATAAACATACACAAAAGCTGAAAAACTGATATAAGGCATTCTGTGTGCTATGTACCCATCATCGTGTTTAATTATCACCAGTTGATGGCAATCCTGTGTCATCTGTGTCCCCCCCTCACCCCCCAAAAGACTGTTTCTGTGGATAAATTTTTTTTTCTGCCACTTAAATTGCGATATAGTTGACATACGTCACTTTGTAAGTTTAAGGCATACAGCGTGACGGTTGGATTTCCGTATATCGTGAATTAATTGCCGCAGTGAATTTAGTTAGCGTACAAAAAGGAAAAAAGTGTTTTTTTCTCCTTGTGATGAGAACTTGAGGATCAACTCACTTAGCATCTTTTAAACATGCCATACAGCAGTGTCAACTCTAGTCACCACTCTGTACATTACATCCCAGGACTTATTTAGCCTGTAACCCAGAGTATGTTCCTTTTGACCACCTTCATCCAAGTATTACTGAAAATTGCTTTTGACACAGATATCAGCCATTGTATGATTTTACTGTAAATATTTTTGTATGTATCTGTAAGAAGTAAGGACTGTATTTTAAACAAAATTGCAATACCAATATCATACTTAAAAAAAATCTTTAATAACTGGTGCCTGGGTGGCTCAGTTGGTTAAATGGACAGACTCTTGGTTTCGGCTCTGGTCGTGCTCTCAGGGCTGTGAGATCGAGCCTGGTGTTGGACTCTGCGCTCAGTGGGCAGTCTGCTTGTCCCTCCCTCTGCCCCTTTCCCCCTCCTCCTGCTTGTGCCCTCTCTCTCTCTCTCAAATAAAAAAATCTTTTAAAAAAACCTTTAATAATAGTAAATATTCTTGATTAACTCACAATTTTCTTTACAGTTTGTTTGTTTGAACCAGGATCTTAATAAAACCCATGCAGTATAGTGGGTTGGTAGTCTTTTGAATCTCTTAATCTATAGGTCTTTCTCCATACGTGAGAAAAATATTTTTTTTCCTTCGAAGTCTGCTTTTCAGAGACAAGACTAAGTCTGGCTGCATGGAAACCTTTTCACTGGGACTTAAGTGGGGATAAAATAAAGGATTTGATTAAAACTAATGTCAAACCATTGTCCATTGTGTACCAGGAACTGGGTCTATTGTGTGTCAGGCATAATACAAACAGGAGTAATAGTTGTCCCCACTAGTTAATGCTTGCTTCATACCAGGCACTGTGATCAATACTTTACTAATTAGCCTCGATTCTTTTTACATTTTGAGGTGAGTTTTGTCATTCCCATTTTATATGTGAAGACGTGAAGACTTCCCAAGTTTAAGCGATTTCCCTACAATTACAGCCATCAGACAAGGGGCAGAGTCAGGATATCAGATTAGATTCGCCCGTGCATTCTTTCCAGACACTGTCATTCCAAACGTATTTCTCCTCAAATGTCAGTCACCTTTACCAGATCTTTCTTTCTTTTGGCAGCTGGAGATTTGCGTTTTACTTAATGATTACTGTGGCTGGAATTGTCTTTCTTTACGATGTAAGTTGTCTCTCTGATATTCTTTGATGGGAATTTGTCTTTAATTTTAAAAATCACTGCCTGTGAATTCCTCATGAAATAAGGTTCTCAGTAGGTTAACCAGCTTTCATGCTTTTAAAATCACATGAATGTCTAGAGAATTCATAACCCCTCAGTCTGCCTTTCAAAGCCTTTGTTAAGCATTGAATTTGCAAACATAAGTCTGAAACCTAACCTAGTCTGAAACCCAATCTCTTCCACTCACATGACCCCTGTGCCAATGACCCTGGACTCTTAACAATCCACTGAACATACTTGGTATATCTCAGTTTTGGATTTTAGCCCATTTTACCCCTCTGCCAGAAATGTCTTGTCCTTCCCACCTCTACCTCCACCTGCCGAATCCCATCCAGGCCCATACAAAATACCGTCAAGACTCGGTACTCACTCATCAGAAATCTTCCCTTACCATATGACCTTTGCATTGTCTGTTTAAAGAGTTACTAAACGATTACCTCATTAAGTGATGTATAAACTACATAGTAAGTTGAATATTTCCTTTTTTTTAAAAAAAGATTTTTTTAAAAGATTTTATTTATTTGAGAGAAAGAAAGTGAGAGAGAGAGAGAGAAAAAGAACCAGGGGAGGAGCAGAGGGAGAGGGAGAAGCCAGTTCCCCATTGATCAGGGAGCCCAATGTGGGGCTCGATCCCAGGACCCCGACACCATGACCTGAGCTGAAGGCAGATGCTCAACTGACTGAGCCACCTGAATAATTTCCTGTGCAAGACAGCACTGTGTGGTCCCAGATTCACTAGAAGTCGTGAGTATCCCAGGCATATTATATGGGGACATGTATAAATACCAACAGAGAGAGGTGCAGCAGAAACAACAGTGACATGAGAAAGAGCTTATATTTTCTGCTGAAATCAGCCTTTGATGCTGACAAACTAATTTTTTCTCTCTTGGTCCCTTGTTTTTTTCAGAAACCTTGGGTATATGACCTGTGGGAGGTGTGGAATGGCTATCCCAAGCAGGTAAGTCCCTTCTGATACAGTCCTCCCTTCTTTCAATGTTGGGGCCCTCAAACTGTTCCCTGAGTTAGGCCCAAGTCCCCTTCCTACTCTCTGTCCACATATGTGCAGTCCTTCAGCTCTTTCTCTACCAGAGCTTACTCATTCTTATTCCTTATTTACCTATCACTCGTGCTGTTCCTTTAGTCTGTTTATGGTTAATGCAATTACATATTTGAGTTTAAATCTCCTACCTTACAATTTATTTTCTGTTTGTAATACCTGGTGCATTTCCTTTTATTATACTCTCTTCTCAATTTTTTTATAGGACAGTCAAATTTTTGAAAAAATTATTATTCCATTTCTTCCTTTATAATAGCTTCATCCTTTTATTCTTCCAGTAATTATCCTAGAGATTACCATATGCATTTTTGAATTACTGGAGTCTAATAAAAATTAGTGCTCTTACTTCTTTCCAGTCACCGAAAGTTCATGAGAACTCTTCATAGAATTATTCATATACCCTCCTCCTTCGAATATTTAAAACCCTACAAGTCATTGCTATTACTGTTTTGTAAATCAGATTTCCATCTCCAAGCTCAACCTTGTATCCTGCTTTCCCATGCTTCCATCTGGGATGATTATCCTTCTGGCCAAAGATGTCCCTTTGGTTTGCTTTTCTGAAATGTTACCACTTTGCCTTCATTTTTTAAAGGATATTTTTGCTGGGTATAGAATTCTAGGTTAGCAATGACTTTCCTTTAGCACTTTGAAAATGGCATTCCATTGCCTTCTGGATCCCATTGTTTTCTTTAAGAATTCAGTTGTCAGTTTTATTTTTGCTTCTTTGAACAGAATGTCTTATTTTCTCTGACTGATTTCAATACCTTGTCTTTGTCTTTTAGGTTTTATTATGATATGCATAAATGTGGTCTTCTTTGACTTTATGCTGCCTAATGTCCATAGAACCTCTTGAATCTGTGGCATGATATCTTCAGTCAGTTTTAGAAAATTCTCAGCCATTGCTTTTGATCCTTTCTCTCTCTCTTCTCTTTCTGGAAATTCAATTACATATGTACTAATAGGCTAGATGTTTACACTAGGTCCCACATGTCTCTTATATTTTTTCCAATATTTTCCATCCTCTTGCTTCTCTGAGCTTTAAGTCTTTTGGGAGACAATTCTCCATGGATTTCTTGCATTTTTACATGTCTTATGAAGTGAAGCCCTGTCTTCCTTTTGTTCTGTACTATCTTTGTAAGGATGTTTGTATAGCAGACAAACTTGGAAGGTAGAAATCCTTCCTCACTCAGGGTTCCTCTCTTGTAATACAACCCATGCTATGTGCAGATGTCATCTGACACTTTTTGCTTAGGCCTGTATGAGTTCAGATGGGAGACTTGTCCCAAATATTGATACTCTGACAACTATTACTGTGAATAATATGCTATCCTTTACCTCTGACCCAGGAGTCTCAGATCTTCAATCAGCCCCCATGAAACTGTGGCAAGCTATCTCGCAAATAAGATAAAATCTCAGACCCTTCACAGATCTGGATATATTCTATTTTCATATCCTCTAGTTTGTTGCTGCCTTTAATACAGTGTCTAAAACTGCTGTGAAAACACATCTCTTGAATTCTAAATTTTAGTTATTATGTTTTTCACTTCTCAAATTTTCACTTAACTCCTTTTATACTGGATTCCATTTCTCTACTGAAATTTTCCACATTTTAACCAAGTTTTTAAAGTTATTTGAAAGTCCAAGTCTGAGGAATCCAATGTCTTGATCACCTATGGGTCTGTTCTCTTTTTGTATTCTTGTCTCCTTATGCTTGATGACTTTTGATTGAGTAATAGATATTGTATATGAAAAATTATAGATGCTCAGGATACTATCTTCCTCTTGAGAAGAAATACTTTCACTTCTACTCATTAGAGTAGAGACAAATCACTTTCATTTTATGTGTGATCAAGCTGATTCAATGTGGATTCCAGTCTTTTGAGGGCAGATGTGTTTACAACTTATCCATATTCCTAGGGTGTTTTCCTAGTGATTTGAATAAAAGATTACAGGGTTTACCAGGACTCTTTTTCTTTGGCTGAACCTGATACCAGTTTGCATCCTAGCACCATGAAGTTGCCAGAAGTCCTGTTTAACTTTTTCTGTTTCTCAGTCTCTGGACTCCATACTGCTTATAAACTGGCAAATGCTGACTGATGCTATACACACGTGTGGTTTTCTTTGAATTTATCCCACTTAGGATCTATGGAACTTCTTGGATTAAGGATCCACTAGAAATAAAGGATTCATTTTTAATGCATCTCTCTTTGAAATCTTAGCTTCACAGATTCTGGGTACCTTGGTTGCTCTTTGATGCATTTGCAGAGATATTTTTAATGCATCTTACCCAGATCCTTTTTCAGTTCTCACTAGGAGAGTTAGTCTCATACATGCTTGTTTAACACAAAAGAAAACAAAAACTCATTCTCTTATAGCCTTATCAAGGATGATCATTTGACCAGAAAATTATCCCTTTTAATGTGTTAGCTTCAGTATTAGACAATCAAAGAAGGTTAGACTGTAAGATATTTGGACATTATGTAGGTCAAACTCCAATCTTCTTATTCTCCTCCAAATTACTCTGAACTCAGGTATATCCGTTATTTACTGGTAATAACAAACCAACACCAATGCAGTGCCTTAAAACAACAAGCATTTATTTGCTAATGAGTTGGGTTAATAATTTGGGTTGGGTCCAACTGAACAGTTCCTTTTGCTCCAGGTAGTGTTAAATGAATCAATGCATGTATTTTCAGTCAGTTGGTAGGCTGTCTAGGGGGCGGCTTATGTCCCTGGTGTCCTCATTCATACTTTTGGCAGTGTGTACCTTGATTCTCTACTTTGTTCTTTTTTTTTTAATTTTATTTTTTTATAAACATATAATATATTTTTATCCCCAGGGGTACAGGTCTGTGAATCGCCAGGTTTACACACTTCACAGCACTCAGCATAGCACATACCCTTCCCAATGTCCGTAACCCTACCCCCCCAACCCCCCTCCCCCCATCAACCCTCAGTTTGTTTTTGCCATTTGCGATGACGTGGATGGAACTAGAGGGTATCATGCTTAGCGAAATAAGTCAATCGGAGAAAGACAACTATCATATGATCTCCCTGATATGAGGGAGAGGAGATGCAACATGGGGGGTTAAGGGGGTAGGAGAAGAGTAAATGAAACAAGATGGGATTGGGAGGGAGACAAACCATAAGTGACTCTTAATCTACTTTGTTCTTATCAGCAAGATAGCTCAGGTTTCTTACCTGGTGCTTATGAAGTCTCTGCTTGCCTTATATTTGCTTATTCTCCCTTCACCAAAGCCCAAGATCAAGTTCATGGTCATGTAGGAGAAGACTATGCCATTATGAGTATCAGAAGGTGAAATTCATTGGAGGCATTGATGTAACAGTCCATCACACCAAGTAATATAATATTTTAACTTAGCTAAAATAAGCACCCACCCACACAGTATAAAATTATTAAGGAAACTCCTAGATATAGAAATTTTATTTTTTTTTTTGAGAAGACATTTTTAGAGTACTGAAATAGTTGTATATATTTTATTATTGCCTCATTTGAGAACAGGCCAATTCTGATTACTAGCTGTCACCAGTAGAGAAGTTAGGATATCAGATTTTGAGTAGTATTCAAGAAACATGAAACCAGGTAAACTGTGGAAATAGCAGAACAGACCTGCCAATACTCTTAAGTAAAGAGTTTTTAATTTGTTTTCCCTAATTTAACTTTTGGTCAACATAAGGCAATTACACATTGTAGCTTTATTAACTTTCAAAAAAAACCCCTTAACTTTATTTTGGAATGCTTGTCTACCCTTTCAGAAATAAAATGCCTTGAAATATTATCTTTGATTCCTTCTCAGAAGTTGAAATCTTTTTTAAACTTTGTTTAAGTGAGGGAGAAAGAGAGAGACAGAGAGAGGGAGGGGCAGAAGGAGAGAGAAACTTAAACAGACTCTGTGCTGAGCCTGGACCCTGAGGAGGGACTCCATTTCATGATCTTGAAATCATCACCTGAGCTAAAACTAAGAATTGGACTCTAAACCAGCTGTGCCCCCGAGATGTCCCTCAGAAATCGAAATCTTAAAGCATCACCATTGTGGGGAATTCTGTGGAACATAAATAGGTATAAACAAAAGTTTAATGCCTTAAAATGAGTCATTTATACAGTAATACTAAAGTAGTGAATACTGTCATTTTCCTTAGCCCTTGCTGCCGTCCCAGTACTGGTACTACATTTTGGAGATGAGTTTTTATTGGTCTCTGATATTTAGCCTTGGCTCTGATGTTAAGAGGAAGGTAAGTATCTTTTATTGTTTGTTTTTAAGATTTATTTATGGGTGGGGGTGCTCAGGAGAGAGCAAGCAGGGTGGGGGGTGCTGCAGAGGGAGAGGGAAAGAGAATCCTACGCAGACTGTGCTGAGTGCAGAGCCAGATATGGGGCTCAATCTCAGGACCCCGAGATCATGACCTGAGCTTAAACCAAGAGTCAGACGCTTAACCAACTGAGCCACCCAGGTGCCTCTAGGTAAACACCTTATTTACAAAGCTAATTTATCTACTTTTTCAAAAATTGTCACCCCTCCCATCCCCAATCCTAATCTTTACATTGTATTGTTAGCTGTATTTAGTTTCAATTCCTAGCCTTTTTGCATTTTATAGAACGGTGCAAATCCTGCTCATGCTTTGGAGCCTCAGTAAGTATTTGCAGTAAAGCATTCTAGACCCTTCCACTTGGAAGCTCCACTCTTGTTTGGCAAGAAGAGAACTCTCCTTTATGTGGTCTGTTTTGTCCTTTGGGTTTAAACAATTGCTGTTCTTCAGTACAGGTGCTAGTAGTTTTAATTCTGCAGCCACATGTAATTTTTTGATGTGTTCAAGGACTTCAAATACATGTTGTCCTTAATTCATCTAAGATTTTTAGGAGGAAACCTTGGGCATGCTTGGCTTTGCTTTAGATGTAGGGAAATTGAGCCACAGGCATGCTAAAAAAATGTATCCTCTGAGTTAACAAAGTGAGGCCGTTTTAGGAACCATTTGCTGCTACAGAAAATCCTATTAGATTCTCAATGTAATCACAAGATTTTATCATGTATGTTAGCAATTCAGATCAAATAATAAATACTCTTGGCATATACCTCCATATGCTACACTCTATTTACAAAGTCAGTTTGTGGGAAAATTTGTGTGATAAAGTTAAGTTGAACTCAGTATTAAGGAGATAAGACCAAGCCAGCTTGGTTAAATGTTTGGGTGTGTGATGGTGTGCCCCATCTATCACCTAAAGGGCTCAATCCACTGTAGTGAAGAGGAGAAAACTTATAGAATGTAAGTATAAGAGGGGCACCTGGGTGGCTCAGTGCGTTAAGCCTCTGCCTTTGGCTCGGGTCATGATCCCAGGGTTCTGGGATCGAGCCCCACATCGGGCTCTCTGCTCAGCAGGGAGCCTGCTTCCCCATCTCTCTCTGCCTACTTGTGATCTCTGTCTGTCAAATAAATAAATAAAATCTTAAAAAAAGAAAGAATGTAAGTGTAAGAATATCTTATGTAAAAGTCTGATAAAAATAATCTCCTTTTCCATAAAACTCAATCATAGCTGTAGATGAACTGCCATTAATTTTAGCCTGGGCGAAGAATACACCTAAATTTAATTGTTTGAGTCATTTTTTCAAGGGAGAGAATTAAAAATAATCCCCTTTTAAAAGGTCTTCAAAGATATACTAAGGTGGGTCAAGGTTATAACGATCCCTCTGAGTTTACAGTAGTTGGTTTCTCTTTACTAACAAGGGCATTGGGTACCTTTTTAAAAACTAAATATATATAGATGTCATATATTTTGTAAATACATATCTTCAGAGACAAAAATTTTTGGAAGGTGGGTAAAGCATGGACTCTGGAGTCAGAATGCCCAGGTTTGAAACTTTGGGTTCACCACTCACTAACATCTCAGGCTAGCTGACCAGACTCCCTAAACTTGATTTCCTCATCTGTAAAATGGAGCTAAAAATAGTTTCCATCTTCTCTGGTTGTTGTGAAAATTAACCCATACAAAGCACTTCCTGGTATACAGTAAGTGCTCAGTAAGTTGGGCCATTATTAGTAGTATCATGTTTACTCTTTTACTTCGGCTATGAGGAAACTGAAATCTTTAAGTTTTTTTCTTAAACATCCTTCTCGAGGTCTCTGCACACTGTACAAGGCGGTCACTGACAGTGCGTAATTCATTGGTTTCGAGCATGTCCACAGTTACTGCCAGTCATTTTTAGAATATTTTGTCACCGGCCCCCAAAGATATCCTGACCCTTTTTGCAGTCATTCCCCATTTCTCCTAACTTCTCTTGCCCTAGGCAACCCACTGACCTACTTTCCATCTCTATGGATTTGCCAATACTGTATATTTCATATAAATAAGCTGAATCATAATATATGGTTTTTTTGTGTCTGGTACTTTCACTTAACATAATGTCTTCAAGGTTCATTCATGTGGAAGTGTGTTATCAGTCCTTCATTCCCTTTAATTGCTAAATAACTGCCCATGGTATGGATAGATCGCATTTTATTTTACCTGTTTACTACTTGATGGCTATTTGGGATGTTTTCTTTGTTGTCTCTTGGGAATAATGGAATATGAGCATTCATATACAAGTTTTTGCATGGACATATTTTGCATGGACATTATTTGTATTTCTTCCAGTAGAATTGCTGGCTTGTATGATAATTCTATATTTAACCTTTTGGGCAACTGCCAAAGGTGCTGCACCATTTTACATTCCTCCCAGCACCATACAAGCATTCCAGTCTTTCCACGTCCTTGCCAACACTTGTTAGAGTTCATCATTTTTATTATAGCTATCATGGTGGGGATGAAGCGGTATCTCATGGTGGTTTTGATTTACATTTTCCTGACAACTAATGAGGGTTGAGTGCCTTTGTGTACTTGCCCACTGTTTGTATATGTTGTTTGCAGAAAATGTTTAAGTTTTTATCCTTGATTGTGGTAGCTTCCTTTAGCCCAGGATTGGTAGTGTTGTCCTTTCATTTGTTACTTGTTTCCTATGTGGTAACTCTTATTTTAATGGTTGTATAATTTTAATATATTGTATATCTGTCTTTTTCCCTTTTTGGAATTAGAGAATAAAGGATAAATGTAAATATACACAGGAATGTGTGTGTATGTATATGGTGTGTGTGTGTGTGTGTGCATGCATGTGTGTGTATGTCTATCCATTGTGGGGCAGTGGAAAGAACAGCAGATGTTAGGAGTTAGATGACAACTATTCAGCGCTGTCCCAAATGTAAGTGACTTCATCAGTGAGGATAACATGTGTTAGTTCCCTCACAAGGATTGTGTTTAAGAATCAAAGTGAAAGCATTTTACAAATTTCAAAACATTCAGATGTAAGTTGTTGGTTTTTTGTGAAATCTTGCCATTTGCCATGACATGGTTGGAACTAGAAGGTATTATGCTGAGTGAAATAAGTCAATCAGAGAAAGACAATTATTATATGATCTCTTTGATATGAGGAATTTGAGAGGCAGGGTAAGGGGCTGTGGGGGGAAGGGAGGGAAAAAAAATGAAACAAGATGGGACTGGGGAGGGAGACAAACCATAAGAGACTCTTAATCTCAGGAAACAAACTGACTGCTTGCGGGTGGGGCAGTAGGGAGAGGGTGGCTGGGTGATGGACTTTGGGGATGGTATGTACTATGTGAGTGCTGTGAATTGTGTAAGACTGATGATTCACAGACCTGTACCCCTGAAGCAAATAATACATTATATGTTAATTTTAAAAGTTGTTTTTTGAAAAATATTATTATTATTGTTATTGTTGTTAGCACTTCCAATGATTAGGAAATAACTGCATTTGCCTAATAGCTTCTATTTTCCTCTCATTTTGTAGGATTTTCTAGCTCATGTCATCCACCACCTGGCTGCTCTTAGTTTGATGAGCTTCTCTTGGTGCGCTAATTATATTCGCAGTGGGACCCTCGTGATGATTGTGCATGATGTGGCTGACATTTGGCTGGAGGTAAACGTTTGCCATTAAAAAAGTAATAACAATACCATGTCCTGGGTTTCTGGAACTCCTCGCTGGAAGAACGGTCTGGGAGTAATTTAGCAAGGCTCCCTGTCCTGAAAACACCCAAAGTCTGAGGATGTCTCTGGGTCCTCGGGTCCTTCAAGCTTAGAGAAATGAAAGCTTTTAGTGTTTAGTCTCCAGTCTTCTCCACGGTACTCGAGAGAGGTTAACCCATGGGATTCCACCTGTACAAGTTGCCTGCAGATACTAGCTCAGGAAGTAAGGTGAGATAACTTGAGGAAGGAATGAGCTCTAATCGTTTAAAAGGAAAATGTGGATTTGTGGCTTTATGGATTCTTAACGTTGGATGGTACCATATATTGACTTAAGCCAAAGCCAAATACCCATTGAAGGGTCACACTGGCCAGACAGGGATCCTCCTCCAGCTTTAAAGAACGAGAGCTGATGTTTCTTCAAGTGGCATTTATTTCCTAAGGGAAGAATGTTTTGGAGCAGGGGACATTAAAACAAGAGTCTTCCTTGTCCCAAACAACACACAACAGGAGCAACAAAGCAAATTAGGATTGTTTTCTCTACTGGTCTCTGTTATGTATTGGTTCCTGTTTGCCCCGAGGCAGTGACCCAGCAGCCCTCTTGCCCACCAGCTCTCCTGCTGTACTTAGGCATTTTCCAGAGCCATAAGTTTGTCCTCTAAATACCTTCACTTATAATGAAGCCGAGGAAAATAATGCTTGCCCATCTCGTGTGCAGGATTGCCTTTTGAAGGGTTAATAGCTGAATGTAAGTTGGAATGGGAGAAATTCAATTTGATAGCATCTTGTTCTTCTAGATCAGGGTTCACCGAACTTTCTGGTGAAGGGCCAGATAGTAAATCAATTTTGTGGGCACTGTAGAATCTCTTGCCATATCATCTTCTTTTCTGATTGCTTGCTTTTTCTTTTCTCATACCCTTTTAAAAATGTGAAACCCATCCTTACAGAGTGACTACCTTTAGCCCATTGGCTGGACGGTAGTTCGCTAAACCCTGTTCTAGATGTAACCAGAAGTCATTTGAAGCCATTTCAAAGCCACTGGCTACTGTTAAAATATTAAAAGTGTACAGAATTTTGTTTCTTCTGTGTAATTGGCATTAGACATGTAAATCTCATTCCAAAGGCCAAGATTATTCAGGGCAGCAAATGGCTTAGCAGAAGAAGGATTGTGCCAGTTTTCCCATGTGTTGTTATCTCAATGTAGTCATATCTGTTATAATTACCAACGCCTCTGATCGTATCTCGGTAACCCTGCCTGTAATGAAGACCACATTGGCCATGACTTAAGAACTTGATGCTACTCTGTTGATTTTAAGCACTCTAGCCTTTGGTGTGTATTCATTGTAAAAATAGCTTCATTGTGTTGTTAAAAGGGATTTAGATGTGGAGACTGGGAATAAGCTCTGGGTTGTCCCTGCCCACTCTCCCCGACCCCATCCCTGACATACTATGACTCCCTAGGTGACGGGGCAAATCACTTAATTCTTTGTTTTCTGTCCTCGGTGGTAATATGAGAAGTCATATCTGCTCCTTAGGGTATATCATGAAGTTTAGCTCATTACTGTTGGAAAATGTTCTGAGGTTCTTAGGTGAAAAAAAAAAAAAAAAAAGCAAACAGAAGGAAAATAAAATGTCAGACTCAGAGGTCCCTTCACAGATAAACTATGAGAACAGCCTCATGTTGTTAATGATCATGAATCATTCCTGATTCACAAACCACGATCTAACCTGAGATTCAATGAGCAAGGCCAGTACCTTCCACCAGCTGGGAAGAGGCACCATGAAGCGATGGCACAGGGGCCAATTTCTGATATCCTCCAAGGATGCCTGGTCCACAACTTCCTCGAGTAGTGGGCTTTTGTGGTTGTCTTCTCGGGCAAGTTCTCATTGAACCCAGACATGGAACAACTTTTGGCCCTGTTGAGACCCTCCTAAAGATGGTGACTATTAATCTTTCATATTCCTCAAGACAGTTGGTGTGGGTCATTTTTTAGCCTTTTCTCGGAAAGGAAAAACAGCCTCAACATCTAGAACTCTGACTTAGAAGGAACCTCTGTCTTCTTCATGCCTCCTCCTGATCCTCTTGTTTCCCCCATGTTCAAGTTTGGGTGCAGGGCCCAGTGCTTGAACAGCATCCTGACTCATGCTTAGCAAAGGATCAGGGTGACTGTCGATCTCCATCATTGCACAGCCCGGAATATTCTGTGTGTGTACTTACCCCAAGGAATGCTACTTTGCCCTCACAAGTGCACTCCTTTCCTGCCTGTGCACATCTAGCTAGCCACCCTAGCCCGGCCTCTGACTCTTCAAACAACTCCCACACTCCATTCCAAGCACCCTGAACTTCTGGCCCAGATCCCTATACCCATCTCCCACTCACTTGGCAGACTAGCCTTCCGTCACAGCATTTGAGGCTGTTGCCTTCTGGGCCCCCCGCCCAGAACTCCACAATCTGATCATATCCTTACCCCACAGTAAATATGGCAGAGTATGGAAAACATCATGAAAACCCTTCCCGAAGTACGCTGCCTCTCTTGGTTTAGAGTGGCTTTGAGCTTCCAGACCAGTTTTAGTCCTGAAACTGTGCAGACCTGAACCACACTTCTGGAGGGATGACCTACACTCAGCAACTCCTACCCACCTCCCACCACCCACGAGTCCAGATACCTTCCCATGCAGCCTTGGGCTCCACTCGATAATGCCAGAGAGAATTCTCATCCATTAACCTGCTACTACCACATTAAACACTTTCTGTAATTCCTTTTATTCAATGCAGACCATACAGACAGTGTAGACTAGCATAAAATAAATGGGGAAAAATTGAGTGCTTGCAACTTCATTTCAACCAGGACACAGCCCCCAGGGCATCCCCCTCACTCTGCCCCTTCTGTCAGCTGCCTTGATGGCAATGTGTGCAGCCCAGCCCAGCCCAGCCCAGATCTTCACTCATATTTTAACCTTTCTCTAATCCAGTTCTCCAATCAATTAAGTGGCGAAAATAAATCAGCGCCCCAATGAAATGCATGCTAACATTCATTGGGCTAACTTGTAGGGCTTGTGAGGGACAGGCATAATATTACAATCATTTAAACATATCTTTTTTTTTTTTAACAGTCTATTATGGAAAATTTCAAACAAACGACAAAGAGAAGAGCATAATGGACCCAGTGGCCCTTTCCTCCAGTGTTACCAGTAGTCAGTGTGGCCAGCCTTTTTTCGCCCATTTCCCCATCCATCCCTCTCCCCCACCCCCCCACACAGAGACCACTTTGAACCAAATCCTGGACATCATATCATTTATAAATATTTAATTTAAGAATTTTATTCTAACATCACTTTATCTGAATGCAATTGCTTTTTTTTATTTTCAGTCTGCTAAGATGTTTTCTTATGCTGGATGGAAGCAAACCTGTAACACCCTGTTTCTCATCTTCTCTACCATATTTTTCATCAGCCGCCTCATTATCTTTCCCTTCTGGTGAGTAAACAGGGGGCTGTGTCGTGCCTTTGGTCACCATGCTGAGGTGGCCTTGGCACGTTGTTGAAGTCTCTTTCCTACATTGATGCCTGGTTGTTTGTGCCAAGTTCAGTCGGAGAAAATAAAGGGAGGGGGGCATTTTTATGAATAATTAAAACAACACCTTCCAATGTGGAAAAGCTTATGATAAAGGGAGGTCAAAAATGTGCAACCTGATGGGTAAACAGCAATTCTTACTCTATGTTTTGTTTCATGAATGTGGATCTTTCTTTGTGTTTAACAGCTTTTCCCTTTATTCATTGAACTGTCATTGGTCAATCACCGGCTCTTTGAAAGAGAGACATGTTCTATGTTAAAAAAAATATAATAAATATAGCCACCATTAATTGAACGCCAGACACTGGATGAGGCCCTTTGTATATCTTGGCTCCAGTCTATACAACAAATCATAGATAGAGGTCTTATCACTCCTACTTCACAGATGAGAAAACCGATAATGATTTCATTTTCCATGATCACTGATTGGTCTTAACAATGGTCTGGATATCCTTTCCATATTGATTGGCTCTTGATCAGCCTTTTGATTTTGTTTAGCCAAGGGCTGGCAGTGAAGAACTGATATTGTGTCTCCTCTGACAGTCATTCCTTTAGCAAGCATAATTTTCCATATGTTGATTGATAGGAAATGAAGAAGTGTGAGGAAGTCTTTGATAGTTTGGAAGAAAGAACTTATAATGACCCATTTTGGGGTGCTGGTCTATAGTTTCATATCCTCTCAACAGAAAAGTAGGGTTGGTGTTGCTGAAGATCCTAGGTCCCAGGGGAAAGAGAAGGAATGTAGGTTCCAGACCTGATTCCTAATGAGTGAACGGCACCCTTGACTAGCCTGCAGGGAAGTCTGGCCAGACTTCCCTATGGAAGCCAGCTACATGCTTAAACCAAGACCAGTGTCTTACTTAGACATTTTCTAGAGAGGAGCAGCTTAGTGTGGTAATTACGTTCATGGATGCTAGTCAGGCCTAGATTCAAATCCTGGCTCCACACTTATGACCTGTATAATCTTGGACATGTTAGGTCATTTCCCTGGGTCTCAGTTTCCTCATCTGTAAAATGGAAGTAATTGTTGTCACAGGCTTAAATGAAGTAATACATATGAAACAGTTCAGAATTGTGTCCAGAACATAGTAAGGATTGGCAAATGCCAGCTACGTTTATTAAAGTTATTAATAAGTCTCTAAGAATTTGAAATTTAATCTAGAATCAAATCTGAGACACAACATTTATAATATTCTCCTTGGTTGATGAATCACATTACCCTCACTTTTGCTTTGATTGAGCGCATGTGTTTGTGAACTTGTAATATTATATGATAGCGGATACTGATAGTGTTGACTTTCGGGTAATAGTTGAATTATGGCTTTTCAGTGTGACTTTTATGATGCCATAAATCCAGCATTTGCCCACCGATGGTCTCTTCTTATGTTCCAGAAGTACCATGTTTTCTGGTTTATCTGTTACTACATAGTAAACAATCTAAAAACTTGATGGCTTAAGACAGTGTTGAACAAGGGTTTTTTTTTGTAAAAGGCCACAGAAGAGCTATTTTCAGCTTTAAGGGCTGCCTATGGTCGCTGTCACATACTATTCCTTTGTTTCGTTTCATTTACAACCCTTCAAAAATGTACCAAACCCAGCTGAGCTCACAGGCCAGAGAAAAACAGGTCGCAGGCCTGATTTTATCACCAGGCCTTAGTTTGCAGACCTCTCTCTTAAAATGACAACATTTATTGATTATTACTATGGCTCATGGTTTATGGAGTTGACTGGCTCCAGCGAGGTGGTGGTTTTCACTTAGGGTCTCTGTTGTGGTTACAGTCAGATGTGGCCAGAGTTGGGAATTTTCTGGAAGACTTCCTCACCCCACATGGTTGAAGTAACACGTAAAAAGTCAACTGGTTGATGCTGATTGTTGGTTGAGACCTCAGCTGGGCCTGTCAGCTAGAATCCTGTCACATGGCATGATCTCCCCATAGCATGGCAGCTGGATTTCAAGGGTGAGCACTCCAGAAGAAAGCTAGGCAGACGCTGTGTGTCCTTTTATAAACCACCTGCAGAAGTCACATCGTGCCACTTCCAACCTCATTTTCTTCATTGGATCCAGGTGACTAAGGCCAGCTCCTATTTGAGGGAAGGAAAATTAGACTCCATTTCTCCACGGGAATAATTTCAAAGAATTCATGGGCATATTTTAAAAACATACACCACGGAAGCTCTCAGTCCCAGGGAACTCTCTGAGAAGCTTCACAGTCTTGCTGCTGTGGTTGGCTTTTGATTTAGCAATGAAGGATGTTAACCTCAGACATTCCCATGATGTCTTAAATCAACAAGCAAGCTTCCTCTTGCCCAGAAAACAACCAAACATCATCCGGGAGTTGAGTGATTGTGGAGGTGGTGTGTTACTTTCTCACACACCCTCGACTTTAAAAATCCTAGATTTAAGGAGCCGTTCTCTTTCCAGAATTTCTGGATTTCAAGAAGAATTAGTTGCATCCATTTGGCATTTTCTTGATCTTGATAGTTCACTGAATTCACCAACCCACTGCAGAGGGCAGCCAATACCACTGTTTGCTGTCTTCAGGGAGTTGGGTTGCAAATAAACCAGTATTAACAGACCCGGCTGTAAAAAATTTTTTTGCTGGTAAAAATTTTTCCACACTGACGTTGATGGGTCCTCGTTGTTTGGAAGGCTGAGGAAAGCCTCACCAAGCTATTGGAAGTTTGAGAGGTTGCTTCTCGATGGTTTTTGAAAGAATCCATTGCAGTGTGTTACCCTGGCTTAAATAGCATTCCCATCTGCTTGAACGTGTTACACAATCATCTTGCGGTGCCAAAGAGGAAAAGTCAGTTCCTTGTTAGCCTGACTCCAACCATTTGTCTAAAATGTGTAAGCGTAGATTCATTTTTCAAGGATATTTTATTAGTATAGTTTTGGGGGGGAATTTACTATGGCCCAAACGATGTGCAGATGATAGACCTATTTCAAGATTCAGACATTTCCGAGGTGCCACGGGAGGTGGGCAGCCTACCAATTGCTCTGTTCCTCACAACGGCTTTCATTGCACATTTTGTGGTAAGACAAAGGGTCCAGTGGGGAGAACATTGACCCATCTGAAATTTATCTGGAAACTGTGGGAGACAGAAACAGAGCCCGTACATTACACTTCCCTTTCCTTCTCTTTTACTTTCCCTTGGTTTTCCCCAGCCTCAAACTGTTTGCTTTCCTCTGATGAGCTTCTTTTGTGTGGGTACAACTCTGTCCCCTCTTCTCTCCTGCTTTTTTAATTTTCTTTTTTTACCCCCCAGGAATCTTATTTAGCCAGTTCTCACTCAATCAGTGTCAGCATGTGGTAATTACATGGTTTTTTATAACACGGTTCCTCTCAACATCAGGCAGGAATTCCAATCAGCCTGGGCCAAATTACTTTAATCTGATTGCCTAGTTACCTCATTTGTTTGCATTTTTATTCAAAAGCATTTAAATCTCAGGCTTATATTTTTTAAGGGTATTCCCAAGTGTTGTTTTATTTTTTTCTAAGATTTATTAATTTATTTTTGCAAGAGGGGGAGAAAGAGAGAGAGAGAGAAGAGTTCATGAGCAGGGGGAGGGGCAGATTGAGAAGCAGATCCCCCCTGAGCAGGGAGCTTGACGTGGGACTTGATCCCAAGACCCCGGGATCATGACCTAAGCCAAAGGCAGACACCTGACTATCTGAGCCACCCAGGTGCCCGCAATTGTTGTTTAAAAATAATGGCTTCTCTGCTTTTGAATTATTAGATGTATCTGTCTATTTGAATATCATACAAATACTGCTGGGGAATCACTAGGCTAGAAAGACCTTCCTAAATTCAGGTAAACAATTTCTCTGATTCTTGACAGTTACCTCCGTAAACCACAAGGGCAGATAACAATTTAGTCCAGGCTGATCCACTGAAGGAAAGGAGCACTCCGTCTCAACGGAAGTTTACGGGGGGAGGTACTGGCTCACTGTTTCGTTTCTTGAACTCATCACACGTAGAGGTTGTGAGGAATACACTGGATGAATGAAACATAGTTCCTACCTTGAGGGAGGAGTTCATAAGGGCAGCAGAAGAGATCCTTTTATCAACCGCCCTATCTATATATTTGAAGATTATTAACACTGACCTGTGTTTTGGATGTTCAAAAAAATTTTCCAAAGGTGAATAATCTTCAGGTAAGGAACTTGCTAACCCGCAAGGGTACATATGCTTGCGGTAACTTTATGGATTCCCTACCGTTGGTTCGCTGGGCTTCAGGCTTCAGCTTTCAAGGATCTGGCTCTCACTGGCAGAGGAAAACAGTCCCACAGGAAGCCTCAGGTGAAAAGGAATTCTGTGGGTCATGTGGCCCTAGAAGTACTTGGAATGGCTATCAGAGAGAGGGCAGTTTCAAGAAAAGATAAGACAAAGCTAGAAGCGTACAGCAGTGCTCTTAGCGGACACTCAGCAGAGGAGAGACAAGAGTAAGGACCCAGGGGACCTTTCCCATCCTCATAAAGCCTGGAGCCTGGGTTCTGAATAAGTCAAGGGCAGAGCCTGGGTGTCATGGTGCCCTGGTGGGTTTCTAGGCCCTCCTGGGATGGCGCCGTGCCCAACTCACAGCCACCAGAGGAGAGGAAGGGCTCGAGCAATGTGAGGGTGGCCCTGTGGAAGCTGGGGCCCCTCCCTGGAGCCACCACCGCAGATGTGTATCTCTGAACTAGACTTTCCAGTTTCACACCTTGTGTAAGAGACAATGAACTTCACCACCTGGGTTTGTTCAATGTCTCCTTGACAGTGTGCCCTCACGGGAACTCCTTAACTTGCACCCACGTGCTCGTTACTTCTGCTGCTCATAGATGTATAAAGGACAGCTCCAACCATCACCCTTCTTTGTATTGTAATACTTTAGGATAACGGACGTTACCCAGAATTTAGCCAAA